ACCTAAAAAGTTTTCTTCTTCTTTTTTCTTTCTTTTTTTTTAGTCCTGCTGAGAAACTTTGAGAACCATAGACCCCCAAAACTGCTGAGTCACCCAGCATCTGTGAAAGTTAGCAGCTGCCTCAGCTGAATCTGTCTCCTGAAGATAACGTGGATTGTCTATGGCTGGCGGGATTCTGGGCCCAAGAGAGAAGCTTCTTCTTCTTTTTTTTTTTTTTGTCTCTGCCACATATTTAACGTTTTCTGTCATCTCTATCTGAATTAGACCAGGCAGTTCCAAGTGACTTGCCACCCTTTCTGTCTTGTGGATACATTTTATGTTGCCAGATTCTAGATCTTCAAGAAAAAAATGGAGTACTTGCCAAAGGAAACTGTGAGTACAGAATTCTCTGCAATGCCATTTGTCACTAATAAAACTAGGAAATCTCTGTTCTTTGAACTTTCTGCACTATCTTTGACAGAGACATTAAGAATTTTTTTTTTACTTCTTAGATTTTTTTTCACTCAGCATAATGTTTACGAGGTCCATCTGTGTTATAGCATGTACCAGTATGATTGTTTGATTGCACTTATATGAAATATCTAGAATAGGCAAGTGTATAGAAGCCAAAGCTTATTAATAGTTACCAGGAGTGGGTGGGAGGGAGGGAAAAAAGGGGACTCACTCCTTAGGGGACATTGAGCTTCTGTTAAGGGTGATGGGAAAATATGGGAATGGATAATTATAATGATTGATCATGACAAACATAACTAATGTCACTGAATTGTACAGGTGAAGAATGTTGAAAGACAAAGAATTTGTTACATGTATAAGAAACCCCATTGCCGTTGAATTGACTCCTACTCATAGTGAACCTTAGGACGTAGTAGAACTGCCCCATAAGATTTCCCGGACTATAATCTTTACAGAAGCAGACTGCCACATCTTTCTTCTGTGGAGCAGATGGTGGGTTTGCACTGCTGACCTTTCAATTAGCAGCCGAGCACTTATCCAGGGCTCCTTCTGTTACATATATATTTACCACAAATTAAAAAAAAACAAAACTGGTTTCATTTTAACTCTCTTTTTTGAATGTCTCACTTTGAACAATGACTTTGAGCTTATGTCTTGAAACAGCACCAAGTTCTAATAATGATCTGTGTAAGCCAGTTCACACAGAGGACAACAAGGTAACCTGCAACAAAATAATTCTCAATAGAGATGTGAGTCTCCATAGAATGATTTAATTCTATGGCCACACTAACAATGGCCACCCACAGAATAGCAATTATTATTTAGGAGAAATGGAGACTAAAATTTAAACTGTATATTAAATATCCTAGGTAAGTTTAGCTTGGAAAAACAGTGCCCAAAATCAAGATGAATGAGGTAGACCCTATGGGGATTTTGCTGGAATTTGTAACAGACAGATCTGATCTCTTTGTAGGAAAGGGATAATTTGTGTTGTTTGACAGTACTGAATTTTATGGTCTAAAAGCTAATTATTGAGATCCTAATTATTTGGAGTTAGTGATAATTGGGTAGAAGATAGACTGAACTTTTGATTTACAGTACTTATGAAGAACACAAAATAAAAGGGTAAACACTATATGAGGTGCATTTTTAAGTATGAAGAAAACAAAGTTTTCAATCTCTTTGTGTATAATATCAGTCACTAAGCTAATTGCAAGCCATTTTAAATTATTCATTAAATTCAGTTTAGAATGATCACTACTTGTCAACACCTTTTTAGCCT